CTGGTCCCTGCCAGGAGTGCCGTTTCCAGTTCAAATGAGTCCAGTTCACTCATCACGGCCAGGACTGCCGTTTCCTGTTCCAATGACTCCAGTTCCCTTGTCACAGCCAGGAGTGTCATTCCCTGTTCCAATGACTCCAGTTCCCTGGTCACGGCCAGGAGTGCCGTTTCCTGTTCCAATGACTCCAGTTCCCTGGTCATCACGGCTTGGAGTGCTGTTTCCTGTTCCTATGACTCCAGTTCCCTCGTCACGGCCAGGAGTGCCGTTTCCTGTTCCAATGACTCCACTTCCCTGGTCCCGGCCAGGAGTGCCGTTTCCTGTTCCAATGACTCCAGTTCCCTGGTCACGGCCAGGAGTGCCGTTTCCTGTTCCAATGACTCCAGTTCCCTGGTCCCGGCCAGGAGTGCCGTTTCCTGTTCAAATGACTCCAGTTCCCTCATCACGGCCAGGAGTGCCGTTTCCTGTTCCAATGACTCCAGTTCCCTCATCACGGCTTGGAGTGCTGTTTCCTGTTCCTATGACTCCAGTTCCCTCGTCACGGCCAGGAGTGCCATTCCCTGTTCCAATCACTCCAGTTCCCTCGTTACGGCTTGGAGTGCCGTTTCCTGTTCCTATGACTCCAGTTCCCTCGTCACGGCCAGGAGTGCCATTCCCTGTTCCAATGACTCCAGTTCCCTCGTCATAGCCTGGAGTGCCGTTTCCTGTTCCTATGACTCTAGTGAGTCCATCTCCTCCCGAGGTGGCAGCTTGCGCTGCAGAAACTCCCGAAGTTGCAGCATCCGCTCCAGTTCCTCCTGAGGTGGCAGCTTGCACTGCAAAAACTCCCGAAGCTGCAACATCCGCTCCAGCTCCTCCTGAGGTGGCGGCTTACGCTGCAGAACCTCCAGAGGCAGCAGCATTTGCCTTTGAACTCTCTGCCAGCCCAGCCGCGGCCAAAGAAGCCGCCTATGAACCCTCTTATGGTCCTGTCGCGGCCAAAGAGGCTGACTGTAAACTCTCTGACTGTCCTGTCACGGCCATGGAGGCTGTCTGTGAACTTTCAGCCTGTCCTGTCACGGCCAAGGAGGCCATCTTCAAGCTCTTCGCCTGTCCAGCCACGGCCAAAGAGGCCTACTGTGAACTCTTTGCCTGTCCTGTTTCGGCCACAGAGGCCGCTGATAACCTCTCTGTGCTCTGTATTCCAGTCCAGCCTGATCAGCTGTGGTGGTTCCCTGCTCCATCAGCTCCACTCTGGTGGTCATCTGCTCCACCATGGGGATCTTCGGTCCCGTCTACTCTGCTGTGGTGGTTGTCTGCTCCGCCGTGGGGATCTTCAGTCCTGTCTGCTCTGCCCTGGTGGTCTTCTGCTCCGCCCTGGTGGTCCTCGGCTCCGCCCTGGCACCCTGCTCTGCCGGCTCTGACCTGTACCTGTACCTGGCCCTCCATCCCTGGGGGGGGGGTCTCTAGCTGGAGTGCCCACAAGCTCCACTAGAGGGCACTCCATCCTGTACCTTTGCCATTCACCCCAGACTGTTGTCACTCCCTCACTACTACATTCCCCATAATCCTTTGCCTGGACTCATTATCTCTGATTACATTCACATGTGTCTTGTTATTTATCTCATCTGTCTCACCCTATTTAAAGCCTGGTTACCTTGTTTCTGATCATTTGCTGCCTGCCTTGACCTTCGCCTGTTTATTGGATTACTCTTTTGTCTCTTCCTGGATTATACCTGTTTGCTGTTGTTTGACCCTGCCTGTTTTGACCATTCTGTTAAATAAAGCCTGCACTTGGATCCTCAACTCCGTTGTCATGCCTCCACGTTACAGTTATGTTTACAAGGATTCTTTAAGTAAATATCAGAGTTATGATCCCGTTGTTCCCATCATGTGCAGGGGGATGAATAATTAATAAGGATAAATTATACAGTGCTTTTGAGTTGTATTTACAGTTTTATGGTTGCTTTTGTTGTTAGGTTTAGTAACTTGCTGTTTTGTGACATCTGTAGTTCATCGGCTTCCGGTAACTTCCGGTAACATAGCACCAGGTGGACACGGCATTGTGTTTTCGGTTTTGGCATTTATTATTGTTTGTAATTTGTGTCCATCAAGCGAAACCTTCTCTGATGATGAGCGATGCTTTAATGTTTTTTCGGAAGAAAGATGCGACGTGATATCTATTGGTTTAGGGGCGAAATATTATTTTTTCCCTATTACATTTACACTCGTCCAGGCCCTCGATCTCAAAACACCACTCCAACGCCCGAAAATTCATTATTATCCTATGCCTGTTATTGTCAGGCGACATTCACCCTCGCCCAGGTCCTAATGGGGAAGTTTGTCCCGGTTTTAACAAAGGGCGAGTTTTGGAATCCGGATCGTACTTGGCTGAACGGAATTCCGCTGTTGTACAGGTACGAGTGTCATGCAGTGACAGGGCTACAAATATTAACAGCATGGCTAATAATATATCCCACTTGGAAAAATTGTAAAGTTTTATTTCTTAAAGTAGTGGACAAAATTGCCCCCCTTAGACAGGTGAGAGTTAAGCAAAGAGCTAGTCCTTGGATGGATGAGAAAATATTGGAAATATTAAAAAATAGGAATAGGGCTCTCTCGATTTATAGAAGAACTAAGAACCAGGAAGACTATTTAAAATTTAAATCACTTAGAAACTTAGGACAGAAAAATATAAAGGAGGCAAAACGTAATTTTATTAAGGAACAAATTCAAGAAAACAAAGAAGATCCTAAATCTCTGTGGAAGGTGTTAAATAGGTTCCATTCAATTGGTAAATCGAAATTTTCTGTATCTAAGGTAGGTCTAGATATTGATGGCAAGATAGAATTTGATAAAAATAAGTCTTTTGCTAAAGTTAATGTAAATCAAATGACTAAAATGCTAGAAGAGCTTCAAGTGTCCAAGTCAACTGGGCTGGACGATATTCCAGCTAGATTCTTAAGAGATGCTGCAGATATTATAGCTCCAACTATTACATTTATTGTTAATCTTTCCTTGGAAAATTGTATATTTCCATCTGATATGAAGTTAGCTAAAATTATTCCGTTATTCAAAAAAGGTAACATACGATCCTGGAAACTATCGTCCAATCTCCATTCTTAATGTGGCCTCAAAAATTGTAGAAAAAATTGTGTATAAACAGATGTATGAGTATTTAACTAAGAGTAGTTTCATTTATGATTTTCAGTAAGGTTTTAGGAAATCTTATTTGACTGATACTTCTTTACTTTATTTAACAGAGTTTATAAGAAGGCAGATGAAGGTAAAATGTGTGGTATGGTACTTTTAGACCTCCAGAAAGCGTTTGACACTGTAAATCATTCAATACTTTTAGACAAGTTAAGTCATGGGTTTTTTCAAGTAAAGTGATAGCCTGGTTGAATTCTTATTTAACTGGGAGAGTTCAGAGAGTAGAAATTGATGGGGTTCTTTCTGAGGAAACGTTTGTTGAGAGTCCCTCAGGGAAGTGTTTTAGGCCCTATATATTAATGACATGCAAGCAGTTTGTGATTGTAATTTGTTTTTATATGCTGATGATTCTGCTTTATTAATTTCAGATAAGGATGTTGGTAGGATACAAGTGCATTTAGGTAAGGAGCTTTGTAAGGTAAGAGACTGGCTCTCTGAAAACAAACTGATGTTGCATTTAGGTAAAACGGAATCCATATTATTTGGGTCTAAAAATAATTTGAATAAGGTTTCTAAGATGTCTGTTAAGGTGGGGGATTGTTTAATATCAAATAGAACTTCTGTTAATTATCTTGGATGTGTCCTTGACAACGATTTAAGTGGTGTAAGTATGGCTATGAAGGTTCTGGGTAAGGTTAATGCTAGGACAAAATTTCTTGCCAGACATGTTAGTTTCCTTGATAAACAGAATATAAAATTACTTGCATCATGTTTAGTGTCATGTCATTTCGAATATGCATGTATTTCTTGGATGTCTGATTTGTCTCGTGGTTACCTGTTACCGGGAGTGAAGTTTGTGCTTTACATCAAGGACCACAATGGAAATAAGTTTTTTTTTAAACTTTATTGTGTTATCCTTGACGAATAGAGTGTATTCACTACTTTTTTTGTCAAAATAAACAAACAAACAAACAAAATTTTCTACTCTAAATGACCCATTCAAACACTATCCACTGGTTTTTGTGTACCAAGTAGCCTATTGAGGTCTGTGTGTTCATAACTGTGTTGAGTAGACATATGTTTTTAAAGAAAATAATAAGCTGTTTATTTACATGTAAGTGAACCACATACTTAAATAGCATGTTTTTTTTCCAGTACTGCACAGTTTGAGTAAAGTTTACAAATCATGACTGAGTGAAATGTATTTGTGTTGCAGAGTAAACTTAAAATATTTAAGTAGAAATAACTCATCAAATTCTAACTATGTTAAATTTACTTATTTCCTTACATAATTGAAGATGATTTTTTACAAAATTCCATACTTAAATTTTGCTTATTGTTTTTTTTCCAGTATAGATATACGATATATGTAGATAAAAGTGTACTAAGTTTAACAGTGTTTTGAAGATTAGACTAAAAACTCACGTCAATTTCAATGTACACAGTATGCTAAAACATTTAAAATAGGCATATATTAAACTTGAATGTAATATTGAATAACTAAAACTGCTGTAGCCAGCATATAAGTTTTTGATATAAGCAAATGCAAGCAGCAGATGATACTTTGTGACAAAATAACACAAAAGATCATCTGCTGCCACCTGCTGATAAATTATGCTAAATGCAATTTGAAAATGTATTGAAATAACTCTTACACCATTTTATTACCAGTTTTTTATTAAGACCTTTTTGCTTTTGAAGTATATGTATATCAGATATATTTACAGCTTGACGAGCTTTATTAAATATAGACCTAGAAACAAGGCAATGATGTAGGCTACTGACGTAAAAACAGTTGCTACTGAAAAAAATCTCAACAATAATATGAACTATAAGCACTCTTAGTTTGTTGTATTGTTTTTATTGTATTTTATTTTATTTTATCCGATATCTGTTCCTAAAAACGTCGGTTCGGTCTTTTTCTGTATATATTTCTAAGAAGTAGCATACTAGGTTTGATCAACGTGAATCCTTTTTCCAGTTTTCTCCTTCTCGATGTCACTCTCGAATGGCCCTTGCCCGAAGATCCAAGATCGCCTCAGTTCAAAGGCAGCACGAATGAGTGAAGCGATCATCTCTCCATATCTACTGCTAGTAAAAGAATGAAATAAACACGATGAACGTGAGAAGGTTCGCTGAAAGATAGAGTAGTACTATTTAATGTAATCACCCAATCACTGTCTCAGTCTCTCTTTAACGATGTGCAATCTGACATTATGAGTAGGCTATATCACAAAAACCAAACAAAAACACACCCAGAGAGTGCACGCATACACTGTGTGATTTAGTCTAATATATTTATATCATTTAATATAGTTAATCTAAATCACACTAAGAGTACCGTTTTTCTCCAGATATCAGCATGATAACAAATGTGATATTTTTATACAAGTTAGTAATGGAGTGCCATTACTAACTTTTTTTAATGAATAACGAATTTTATTAATTCTAATAAAGTTAGAATTAAGTTACTTACATGCCTGTTTTTGCTATATTTCACCAATGAAAATAGTTCAAAACAGCACAAAATGAATCAGTTTTTTAAACAAATGATTCAGAGACTCAAATAACAGTCAAATGTTTCATTCCTGATCGAATCAACCTTTTGAATGAATCGATTTAATCTCAATGACTCGCTCATTAACAGTGACTTGCTGCTACCTACTGGCGGCTTTAATTTCACATTTCAAGTATCTTTTCATGTTTACAATTTTTTCAAATATCAATATTCAACGTTTTAAGTTTAAAACAAAACATTATCTATGCATTTGTAACTGCTGGTCAAATGCATCCATGTCCCCTCTGAGCTGCATTAAACAGTCTGTGTAAATGAATCTAAATGCCACTTCAGATGCAGATTCCATATTTGCAAAAACTGTTTTCTTATGTTGGAATAAGAGTCTTCGTACCAGATGAAGTAGCTCTTCTGCTAAATGGAAGAAAGAGTTAAAACTGAACACAATCTTGCTGCTCAAACTGTGTATAGAACAATTTTTACTATTTATTTACTCCTTTTCTATTTTGAATTAACTTGTACTTTTACGTTCAATACTTAAGTTTAATATAAAAAAAATACTTTTCATACTTAAGTACAATAAATATCACATACTTTACAACTTTTACT